GTATAATTGCTTTACAATGGTGTGTTAGTTTCTGCTTTATAACAGAGTGAATCAGTTATACATATACACATGTTCCCATATCTCTTCCCTCTTTGTCTCCCTCCCTCCCACCCTCCCTATCCCACCCCTCCAGGCAGCCACAACTTACGTTTGTTAGTATATATATGTCCATGTCTCTCTCTCGCCCTAACACACCTCACCCTTCCCCCTCCCCATATCCTCAAGTCTGTTCTCCAGTAGGTCTCTGTCTTTATTCCTGTTTTACCCCTAGGTTCTTCATAATATTTTTTTTTCTTAAATTCCATATATATGTGTTAGCAGACGGTATTTGTCCTTCTCTTTCTGACTTACTTCACTCTGTATGACAGACTCTAGGTCTATCCACCTCATTACAAATAGCTCAATTTCGTTTCTTTTCATGGCTGAGTAATATTCCATTGTATATATGTGCCACATCTTCTTTATCCATTCATCCGACGATGGGCACTTAGGTTGTTTCCATCTCCGGGCTCTTGTAAATAGAGCTGCAATGAACATTTTGGTACATGACACTTTTTGAATTTTGGTTTCCTCAGGGTATATGCCCAGTAGTGGGATTGCTGGGTCATATGGTAGTTCTATTTGTAGTTTTTTAAGGAACCTCCATACTGTTCTCCATAGTGGCTGAACCAATTCACATTCCCACCAGCAGTGCAAGAGTGTTCCCTTTTCTCCACACCCTCTCCAGCATTTATTATTTCTAGATTTTTTGATGATGGCCATTCTGACTGGTGTGAGATGATATCTCATTGTAGTTTTGATTTGCATTTCTCTAATGATTAATGATGTTGAGCGTCCTATCATGTGTTTGTTGGCAGTCTGTATATCTTCTTTGGAGAAATGTCTATTTAGGTCTTCTGCCCATTTTTGGATTGGTGTATTGTCTATTTAGGTCTTCTGCCCATCCTTTGTCAGTTGATTCATTTGCAAATATTTTCTCCCATTCTGAGGCTTGTCTTTTGGTCTTGTTTATGGTTTCCTTTGCTGTGCAAAAGCTTTGAAGTTTCATTAGGTCCCATTTGTTTATTTTTGTTTTTATCTCCATTACTCTAGGAGATGGGTCAAGAAGGATCTTGCTGTGATTTATGTCATAGAGTGTTCTGCCTATGTTTTCCTCTAAGAGTTTGATAGTTTCTGGCCTTACATTTAGGTCTTTAATCCATTTTCAGCTTATTTTAGAAAGCATATTGAACCCAGTTTGAGTTGTGTTCATTCAGAGGCATGTCTGGAGTGCATACTGCATACCAGACACTGCGTTAGGACCTGAAGGGCTGGAGACGCAGAAGATGCTCTCTCTCCCTGCAGAGGGCTCACAGTCTAATGTGAGAAAAAGACAAAATTACAATTCAGTGTGCTAAGTCCTAGGTTAGAGCTTAGTACACCAGGAGAATATTGAGAAAAGAGAAAAGAAGTCTTTGCCAGCAGTGGGGGTAACCAGGGAAGGTTTTTGATAGAGATGACAACAAAGCTGAGATTTAAAGGACAAGTAGGAGGTGGACAAACAAAGGGTATGAAGGACAAGGCATTTCAGGGAGGAGCATGTATTCCTTTCGGCCAAGAGGTAGGGCTGGAAAAGAAAGACAAGAGATAGAAAATGAGCCTGAAGAGGAAAACGGAGCGGGTGTGGAGGTCATATGCCATGTGAAGGAGTTTGTACTAAACCCTGAACACTCTGTGGGGCTCTTGCAAGATTTCTGACAGGACAGTGAGCTCTGGACACATTGCGTTTATCTCAGATTCCTCAACACCTTGTTCTTTTCTACCTCAGGGCCTTTGAACATGCCAGTCCCTCTGCCTTAAGAGCTCTTCCTCCTTCTTTTCCGGGCTCTCTCCTTAGTATCTTTCAGATGTCAGCTCTTAAGAGAGACTTTCCCTGACCACTGTTTCTAAAGCTTTTCTTATTTGTTTCCTTCATATTATTTATTCCCTTTATAATTTTTAAAATAATTCATTTGTTTTAGATTTTCAGCTGTGTCTAATCCTAGACTGTAAATTTCCTGAAGGTAGGAACTGTGTCTCAAGCCCTTGGCCCAATGCCTGGCACATGGGAGGTGCTCAAGAAGTATTTGCTGAATAAATGAATGAATCATCAGATTTGCCCATCAGGGAGACAGCTCTGGCTGCAGAGTGGGGAGCAGATGAGGGGAGAAGCCAAGACTGATGACAGAGAATGTAGGAGATTGTCCTATCATGCTGGTGAGAAGTAGGAAGAGCCAGGGCCACAGTTGGAAGGGAGAGATGGAGATATACATGGAGTGAAGAAACAGTATGAAATGGAATCAGTGGAGATTCGTTGGACGTGGGTGTTTGTAAGAGGCAAGATTCAGGGATGACACCAAACAGAAAATGAGATGAACAGTGGATGGTTCATTGAAGTAGGGAATTCAAAAGAGTAAGAACAGGTTTTTGGAGAGAAGAAAAGGAACTCGGCTTTGGACATGTTGGGTCGGAGGATACCCGTGGGCTATCTGGATAGAAATATCTAATAAACATTTTGATTTATGGGTTTGGAGCCCAGGAGAGAGATCTTGGCAAAAGATAAAGATTTGAGAGTCATTGGCCTATAGATTCATTCATGCACTGATTCAACAAATATGCACTTACTAACTGCTGTGTCCCAAGTATTAAATACAGTGGTGAAGCAAGCAAACATTTTTCTAGTTTCACAAATATCACAGTCAAGCCTGGTAGCTGATATCATGGAAATAAAGAAAATAACATAGGGAATATATATATATATATAAGGAGAGATGAGTGCAAATGCTGGAGTACACCAATATTTAAGAGGTGGACAAAAGAAAAGGAGCAATCAGGAGAGGATGATGGTTTGAATGGATGAACACTCAGGTTTCCCCCTCCCAAGTCCTTATGCTAAACGAAACTAAGTTTTCAAAATAGATTGGTTGCTTTTTCCGGTGGCAGGATTAAAGTACGTTCACATTCACTCTGTTCAGAAATTCATTTTAAGTCATCTTTAAAATAAGGAATTTCACAGGTTGGAACTGAAACAAGTATCAGCCTGCAAGCAAGTGACGCAGACAGAGATGAGCAAGAGCTGGAGATCAACCCAGATTTTCCCACTCAGCTCTGAATTTCCTTACTATTGTTATATGGGTCTTAAGTCAAACTTAACATATGTTGTGGTTGGATTTCCTTTGTTATGGTCTGTGGGAGAAATGTGATGTTAACATTGTCACAGTAGAAAGAGATATTATGCTGTTTTGAGCTATTTATTTGTTTGTTTGTTTGTTTGTTTATTTTTACTTCTCAGTTCTTTTAACCCAAGAGACAACACCTCAGGCACTTACCAAGTAGAAGTCAACTAAATACCTTGGGTTGTTTTAAGACGTGAAATTTCTTAGGCACTTCTTCAAATGAATTTTGCCTTTTTAAAAAAATTGTGGTGTATATACATGATTCTTTTTTTCTTTTTTTATTAAGATATAATTGGCATAAACATTCTATGAGTTTCAAGTGTACAACACAGTGATTCAATTTGTATGTATTGCGAAATGATCACCACAATAAAGTCCAGTTAACATCCGTCACCACACATCGTGCCATTTTATTTTGAAAAAGCAAGTTATGATTATTGTATATTCTAAAAATTAGAGCCGCTTCATCTAAAATATCATAGATTGTATGTTTGATATAAAAATTGAATGAAAATTGTCTTTTAATTCTCAGCCAAAACATGTTTCTTATGCAAAAGTCCAATGAAACCAAAAGAAAAAGAATAATTTGTAGGTCCATTTATAATTCTACAAAGCATGGTGATTTTTTTTTGCATGTGTTTATGTGCATGATATTTAACAAATTTATTGGTGCATAAACTATGCCACAGGTAAACTTGCTTCCCTTTAGTAGTGGGCAAAATCTTGCTTTTATCAATAACATTAATCTTATTTATTGATTGTTTGTTGTACATTCACACTAGTCCTATTTCTTACGTTGTTTTTCTTAAAAGTATGTTTCTTATTTCAAAGAACACTTATTTAAAAAAAAATCCCTTCAGCCAACTACTTGTCCTTGACCCTAATTTTAAAGCAGATTACACTAGCCCTATAAACAGATCCCTCAACTAGATTCTACCTCTGAGACTCAGAATCAGAAAACTTTAGAGGCAGAAAGGGAAACGACATTCATAAGTTATGTATTCCTTGCCATTTATAAATATGTTCCTGTATATACCATAAAAATAAGTAAGCAGTTGAAAATTAGATGTAATATCAGATATCTTAAAGGAAATTAATTATATCCAGCAAAAATAAAGCAGATACAGAAATCAAAGAGTAAGTCATTTTGAACAATTAATTTATTATCTTTTCTCAAAAAATAAGGTTCAACCCACCCCTCCACAAAAAACTCTTGTCTCAAAACAAATATAAAGTTTTATTTGTGCTCAAAAGAATTTGTGTTTGTTTCAAGGGTTGGGGCTTGTCTTTTGCAGTCTGACTTCTTAAGGATTCAGGCTATGGTGCCTGTAGAAATGAAGGGGGAACATCTTTAAATCTTGTTTGGTTTGAAGGAATGGATAGCTAATCCCGATCAGATGTTTCTTTAGAGAACAATGTTTAAAAACTGTTAGGGAATTTAGCTATCCTAGCTGATTCTTAGGTAGGCTGTTTTCATCCCGGTTGTGAAGGTCTCAGAGGTCAGCCAAGGTAACCATTTATTTTAAATCGTCTTTTGTTTCAGATTTCCTGTTGAACTTTTTTTTTTAACCATTTCAAAAATCACCCAGTTGTTGTGTCGTAGCTTTCCATAACCTCCAGATTCAAAGATTCAAACCAAAGAACCATCTACGTAACTAAATGACTATACCCTCCTACGTGACTCTAACTAGAGCAGAATATGAAATTAGACTTCACAGTTTTTGATTACAATGAAACTAATATTTGAAATTCTCTTGTCAGATGTCTTCTATTTATGACACTTCGCTTTTGTTTTTGTTTCCCCAGGACATTTGGGCTTCCAGGACAGTTTTGTCACATCAGGGGTTTTTAGTGTGACTGAGCTAGTAAGAGTGTCACAGAGTAAGTATAATTTTGCTTTGATTTGGTACAGATTTGCCTTGGGTTTGTGCTTACCTTTTGCCTAGGCCTCCTAAAGACATAAATACCTTTCAGAATCTCCTTTTCATACTCCCACTGGAAGAATTTTGCCACGTAGTTTGTTTGACAGCCAAGAATTTAAGTCAGGAAAAATTAATATCATTTTAATGTGAGACATAGGGAAA